TTTCCGCAACCAGTTTCTCCTTTAATCAACGTCACAGGATTTTCTCGAACAACGCGCAGAATTTCATCTTTGAACTGCGAAACTGGCAGCTCATCACGGGTTTTAGACATTACAGAGTTCCTCGGTTTTGCTTCCTCCATTTGTTTCAATTTTGCGCTGATTTCGGGCAATGACATCTATAATAGCGCATAGAGATGTAAAAACAGCATGAAAAACATGAGTTAAACAGCACTTACGAAAGCCAGTGGTGGTTCGTCAATATTGCTAGCGCGCCATGCATTCCAGTTTTGCATTGGAGGTGCCCAAGAGATGTTTCCGGCAGGCATGACCTAGATATTCTACTCAATGCAAGCCTTAGCATGCTAAACCATACAAACATACTTGAGACTCAGGAAATTCATCAAGCTTGATGTTGGTAAGGATAGATTTGGGAGCTTCTGATGTCGGCTTTTCTTCTGGGTTCAAGGTGATTGGGTGCACTCCGGAATTTGTCACAAAAGCCTTCACTCGTTCAGCTAAGTAGTCAGGAACATTGATGGGAATTTCGGGAAGCTGAAAGACATAGGGATTAAGAATATTCGTTCTCACAACAGATTATCTCCTACCGTTGCAGCGGTAGTCTTCTTTCGTTCGCCTTTGAACTCAGCAAGAATTCCAAGATGGAATAGCTGGCGAACAATGCCCATCGAACAGATCGACTCCGCAACTTTCTTTGATGATCCTTGCCCTCTTCCAGAGATTTCTGGAAGGAAAACATTCGATAGAATCAAAATTAATTGAGTTTGGTGTGGAACTTACGTCTGCGAAGCTGAGGTACAAATACGGACGCTTCGGCCACATAAGTTCTGTGATCACGATATGTTGAAGAAGAGTTATCTCGACGCTCACTCACCTGCAGTTATTCGCTTCTCTGAGATGTGTATTGTATGCGATACTTGGTTGACGCATCTTTTGCAGAAACTCATTAAGTGCCTGTTTGCTATTGTCCATCGTCCATCCACCGTGAATTTCGGCTTTCAAATCGACAGATTCTGACTTAAAGGCAACCGTTTGTGTGAACAACATATAACATTCACAAGTGCGTAAATTAATGAGGTTTGGTAATACTGTGTATGATAACAACAAGCAACATTACCTGAGCGATTTCTTCAGCTTTCTGCGTTACATAAGCATCATGAGCAGTTGGCGGAGCTCTACTCCATGGAACTGTGTTCCCCTGCA